CACATAAACATGATGGTCAAATCCTGTTTTTTTCAGCTGAGACGGCTGTCTAAGCTGAAGCCTATACTCTCCAAAAAGAACCTTGAGACAGTGATCCACGCCTTCATAACATCTAGGCTTGATTACTGCAATTCACTTCTGTTTGGAATCAGTCAGTCCTCCATTGCACATCTACAACTGGTCCAAAATGCTGCAGCCCGATTTTTTACTGGTACAGGCTATAGAGAGCACATCACGCCAGTTTTGGCCTCCCTGCACTGGCTACCCATTCACCTTTGGATCCAATTCAAAATTCTCATGTATGTTTTTAAATCACTGAACAGTTCCGCCCCATCCTATCTCACTGATCTTCTGCAGCCATATGTCCCACCGCGCTCTCTGAGGTCAGCAGACCAGATGCTTCTCTCAGTCCCAGAAACCCGTCGTAAGCTCAGAGGTGACAGGGCTTTCTCTGTTGCAGGTCCACGACTGTGGAATGAGTTGCCACTGAGTGTCCGGCAGGCTCCCACACTCTCAGTCTTTAAGTCTCACTTGAAGACGCACTTCTATTCTCTTGCCTTTAGCACGGTGTGATTTGTTTTGGTCCTGTCTGTACGCTACACTGTTGGCCATTTTAGTTAGCTTCTGCTGCTATTTGTATCTGTATTTTTATTTTATGTTTTCCTGTCTGCTGTGCATGTTTGTTTTCTTTTGTACAGCACTTTGGTTGGCCTTGTTGCTGTTTTAAGTGCTCTATAAATAAATTGGTATGGTATGGTATTCTCTTGGCAAAATCCACCACCATCTGTCCTTCCTGATTTCTTTCCTTGACACCAAACCTACCCATCACTTCCTTATCCTCTGTTTCCTTCACCAACATGTCCATTCAGGTCTGCTCCCATAACCACTCTCTCCTCCCTGGGAATGCTCTCCATCACTTCATCCAGATCTTTCCAAAATGTATCTTTCTCCTCCTCATCACATCCAACCTGTGGAGCATAACCACTAACGATGTTTAGCATCAGACCTACTTCTACCTTCAGACACATCACCCTATCCGACACTCTCTTCACCTCTACTACATTCTTTGCCAACTCCTCCTTTAGGACCACCCCTACTCCATTTCTCTTTCTATCTACACCATGGTAAAACAGTTTGAACCCTGCTCCAATGCTGCGAGCCTTGCTGCCCTTCCACTTGGTCTAATGGACACATAAAACATCTACCTTCCTTTTCTGCATCATGTCAGCCAGCTCTCTACCTTTGCCTGTCATTGTCCCCACATTTAGAGTTACAACCCTCAGTCCTACATTCTTCACTTTCCTCTTCTCCTCTGTCTCCTGACACGTTTCCCTCCTCGTGGTCTTCGACTAACATTAGCACAATTTCCGCTGACACCCTGTTTGTCAACAGCACAGGTGGCGGTCTTTGTTAACCCGGGCCTCGACCAATCCGGTATGGTTTCACTTTGATGAACTCGCATTATTGTTTTGGCAAAAGTGTTTTACATCGGATGCCATTCCTGACACAACCCTCACCATTTACCCATGCTTGGGACCAGCACAAGAGATACACTGGCTTGTGCTCCCTAGTGGCTATTTTTTCTAATGTGATTCTGTTTTTTTCTAATGTTGTTGTGATTTTGTTTTTTTTGTTGTGTTTTTTCAAATGTTGTTCATTTACACCTTAGGGCCACTGTAATATCTGGACCTACCATTCTGTGTTTGTCTGTCTCTCCTTCCTGTCCTCTCAAACCAGCCGGTCAAAGCAGATGGTCACTTGTCCCGAGCCTGGTTCTGCTGGAGGTTTCTTCATGTTAAAAGGGAGTTTTTCTTTCCACTGTTGCCACTGTGCTTGCTCAAGATGGGAGACTGCAACGAAGCCAAGATTCAACTTGTCTGCTGCTTCCTTATTTAGATAGAGCACTTTACTGGCTTTTATGTGAATGACCTGCAGTGACCTGCTGCCACTAGGTGCTATCTTTTATGTGAATGTTCCTGTAAAGTGCCCTGAGACAACTTTGTTGTGATTAAGTGTTGGAGTGTCGGAGAAAGACTCCAAGATGGCACCGGTGTGTAGGGCTGCCCGTCTCTCGCTCTCTGCTTGTATTTTATTTTTGTTATTTTTACAATGGTTTGTGCAGTGTGCCGAGTCATATTTTCAGTATGATCGTCGGGCACTTTTGGAGCTCCGTACTTTTGCTGAAATTCCTGCGGAGTTTTTGAACAGCGGCCAGCACTCTCCCCCACCGGTCCTATCTGAGATTCCTGCATTCCTTCTGCGTGACCCTGGCCTTTCTCCATGGAGGAAACGTCGCAGACGTCGTGGGAAGCGTGCAGGGATTTTGGTGAAACTGAGGCAAAGAGGGGATTATTCTTTCAGGACTCGCTCTGGATCTGATCATCTCCTCTCTGACCCGTGGTGCTCCCGGGGCCCGGCTGCTGGCCAGCTGCCCGCGCGCTCAGTCCATGGAAACACCTGGAGTTGTTTACCTGTGCGCCGCACCAGCAGACCAGGAGGAGCTGTTCTTCATAACCTGCGCCCGCTGGCGCGCGCGTCTCCATCCACAGCTGTGCCTGTGTTGGACAATATCAGGATGTGTTTAATCAACGCAAGGTCTGTTTCCAACAAGATGTTTATCCTCAATGACTTTTTTAAAGATGAGGAGTTGGATTTTCTGTTCGTCACGGAATCTTGGATTTCTGATGGTGAGTCCAGCGCCTTGGTGGAATTACTACCACTGGACTGTCTGTATTTCAATGCCCCGCGGCCATCAGGTCGGCGCGGGGGGGTATTATTAACAGTTTTTAAAGCAAACTTTGCCTGTAAACAGTTGTCCATCCCGGTGTCCCGCGCCAGCTTCGAGCTGAGCGCCTTTGAACTTGGACACTCTCCTCCGGTCCTGTGTGCGCTCATCTACCGCCCACCTCGTTCTAAGGACTTCATAAATGAATTCTCTGACTTTTTGGATGATATCACACAGAGATACACTCACTTTTTGTTTATTGGTGACTTTAATTTGCATGTGTGTTGTCAGGAGAAGCCCTTAGTGAAGGACTTTCTAGATTTATTGGACTCTTTTGGCTTAGCTCAGCAGGTGAGCGGCCCCACCCAAGAACACGGTCACACGCTGGACCTCGTTTTAACACGCGATGTCTCTGTTTCTAATTTGAAAATCGGTGACAATGTTTTTTCAGATCACATGCCTGTATTGTTTGACTTCACCCCCCCTTGTCCTACTGCGAAGACGCGCGTTCCTGCACGTACGCGTTCCATTAACCATTTCACTGCTGCTCGTTTTAATGAAGGTTTTAACTCTGAGAGGATCGAACAGCTCTCGGTGTCTCTTACCACTGAAAAGCTAACCTCTCAGTTCAACTCTGCCTGTTTAAATGTTCTGGACCGTGTTGCTCCCCTTAAGACCAGAAAAACGATACTTAAATCAGAGCCTTGGCTGAATGACGTCACGCGAGCCGTTAGGCGGCAGTGTCGCAAAGCTGAACGAAAGTGGAGGAAGGACAGGCTCCAGGTGTCTTTTCAAATGTTAAGGGAGAGTTGGCGTCACTATCAGAAAACCGTTAAAGCTGCCAAATGTAAATTCTTCTCTGATTTAATTGTCTCCAACTCCCACAACCCCCGAGTTCTCTTCTCCACCCTGAACTCAGTTCTACA